ATAAGATTTTACTATATAATTCCTTGATTAACATATGAAATATTAAATACTCCAGACACTATCTTCGGCTGAAGACGGTGAAGATATCTTGGCCAATGAAAACGTTTTTCATTTAAAGACTGGATTTTGGTCTATCAGTGTGACGGTTTTTTGCTTTAGACTTCCGATTCTGACAAATTATCAGCTTTTTGATGAGAAAAGAATGTGTACCAAATGTTGGATATCTCAAAAACTGAAAGATTAATTCGGGTATATACAGGCGGACAGACAGACAAAGCGACTCAATTCGGCACGCCGATAAATTATAAGAGTACATATTTCATATGGTCTCCGGCGGTATAAAGGGGGCAAGTTTCTAAGAAAAAGAACGAGGGACGTTAAAATGAAATGAAACACATTCATTTATTCGCTGCTTCATTTTTCGATAATTTTGGCTGTAGTCGCTAATTGTCATCTTCGAGCTCTTCAAACGCTGAACCGATAGTTGATTTGCGTAAACTTTTGATTTAACATCCAGAGACCATGATCTTAGCGGCCGTTTCTCGAAGTCAACGCTTTATCAAACTTTCAAAACAATATGCCCATCTTAAGACATGAAACACCGTCTTGAGGAAAATAGAAATCGTCTGCAACGATCAGCCAATATCGTATTACAATACTTCTATTGAGGGTAACGATATTTCCTACCCCCATTTCCAAAGGAATAAGGTCATACAATGCCACCATATCACAATCCGCAACAAATGGTAAACTTTTGGGCACACAATTGCAGATTTTCTGGAAAAAACAAACAATTGTTTCTTTATCAAAAATAGGAATCAAAAAAAATTAATGCTGAAATCTCCCGAGCGGTTTCCGAACTACAGTGATCACCAGTTCAAAAAACAGATGTTGTTCTGAGAACATTCCCATGAGTATCCCAAGGCGCTCGTGAACCCTTTGCTAATTATCAAATTACTCTAAAAGTATTTGACGGATTTAGTTCAAATTTCAAATTCAACCAGAGAATATTTCTAAAATATTGTACTTTAAGAAAATGCAAGAAAAATATATGCGTATGGAAGTACTTGTCCCTATCTAACCCCGTAAACGGAAAAAGACAGAAATTCGGTTCATAAAATTGCTAAAGAGTTCAACACTAGTGATTCTATCACTCAGCAATATATCTCAAAAATATTTGAATAAAATTTAAAATAAATGGTCGTCCTAAATTGTTTGTGATTATGTTTCCTTTCAAAGTTTAGATAATTGTCGTTAATATATTCCAGATAAAAATTATGTTGAAAAATAATCACTAGAGATTTAATTTTAAAATTTAAGTTACGGAATAACTGACTTTTTCTAAGGAAAGGGTTAATAATACTTTCCAATATTTCAGAATACATATATAATTGAGAATTTGTCCTGTAAAAAGTCAACATATACAGCACTTAACGATAGACAAAAAGTAAAGACTTGAAATTCTGGGATTTAGTGATACAAAGTGATGAAACTAAGTTTAAAATTTATAGAAATGATGGTAGACCCTTTGTCATACGACCACCATCAAAAAAATTAAGTCCACAATAAACAGAAAAAAACAAGAAAACATTATCTTCAGTTGCACCGAAGCTAAATAGCCTTCACAGGTGCATTTGTGTTCAGTTTGTACGGAAGCTATATGCTATAGTAATCCGATCTGAAAATTTTTTTCGGAGATTATATTTTTCCTTAGAAAATAACCTGTGCCAACTTTTATGGAAATACATTGTGAAATGTGCAAATTTTCCATACAAGAACTTGACCACGATCGTTCAGTTTGTATGGCAGCCAAATGTTATAGTGGTCCGATAGCGGCAGTTCCGACAAATGAGCAGCTTCTTGAAGAGAAAATGACGTTTGCAAAATTTCAAAAGGATATCTTAAAAACTGAGGGACTAGTTCGTATATACACAGACAGACGGATAGACGGACATAGCTAAATCGACTCAGCTCGACATACTGATCATTTATATATAAACTTTATAAGCTCTCCGATCCTTCCTTCTGGGTGTTACAAACTTCGTGACAAACTTAATATACCCTGTTCAGGGCATAAAAAATGTGAACAACTAGCTTGGATTTTTCAACAGAATAACGACAAAAAACACTTCTCCAGTGTGGCTGTGGACTAGCTTGCAATGAACCAAGTGTCACGAGTGGCCCCTCTAAGCCCCGTACCTCAAGGTACGTTAAAGGAGGTTAAAAGAAGGCAACTGCTTTGAATACGGCTACATTGTGGTAAAGTCTAAAGGATGAATGGATTAAAATTACTCTGGACGAATGTATGTAATAATGGTACTTACAGTGTACAAACGCTGCAGAGAAGTGATTTTGCAAAAGAAGCCCCCATAAGCATTAGACTAAATAAAGGAAGTCTTTTCAACAAAACATCGAATGCAAAAATGCCAGATTTTTATATCCTGAACAGGGTAAATTAAGTTTGTCACGAAGTTTGTAACACTCAGAAGGAAGCGTCGGAGACCCTGTAAAGTATATACATATATAAATGGTCAGTATGTTGAGCTGGTGCGATTTGGCCATTTCCTCTCTCTGTCCATCCGTTCGTCTGTATATATACGAACTTAAGATATCGTTGTAAATTTTGCAAACGTCATTTTCTGTTCAAGAAGCTGCTCATTTGTCGGAACTGGCGACTATAACTGTCATACGAATAATAAATATTTTGATCAGTCTACCAACTCAGCAAACGACAGTTTTGTAAAATTTCATCTTCGCAGGAAAACTTCTGGGTGCTTTCTTGCCACAATGTGTACCTTTCGTTCAGCCTACATAGTCAGTAGTAGCATGTGACTTTTGTGGTTAGCCCGTTCATACAATTCACGCTGAACTGCCTTATCGACCGGCATCGTTTATCAAAATAACACGAGCACTTAGTAATTGTGCGTGTCCGAAATTGAGTTCACCTTGAGAATAAGTAGTCCTTGAAGGACAACAAAGCACTGTGCAAAGGCCGATATGCAAATTTGTAAATATTTTGTGGTGTAAAAACGCCGCCACATGGCGTGACTGACGGCTATTTGGTTACTTACTTTTTCCTGTTGTGTATTTTGTTTGCATTTTACACACCTACGTCTTCGGTTACAGAAAACCTATCCCTTACTAAAGAAAAAGTGGACGTGTTACCCTTGAACTCATGCAAATGTTTGCCAAAATTACTTAACATAACTGTAAATTTGGCCAATTGCCGTTGTGTTGTTAGCTGAAATTACACCGTTGTGGTTTTCAGTAAATTTTTTTAATGTTTTATTTTGTAAAGGCCATTGACATCATATCGCTGGGTCTTGTAGGGACATGACTGTAGGGTGGAGCAAAAATTTCTTTACTTTTCAAACGACGATCAAAAACTATATTAATGAAATAAAACAAAAAAGAATTATGAACATTAACATATAAAGACACAGACAGTAAACGGCTTTTTTGGCGTTGTTGCTAATTTATGCGGAAGTTTTTAAAGACGGTGAGTACGTTCCTGTTACGTTTTATTTTTCATGCAGATAATTTTATGACCTTTATGAATTGAACAAAATGCCGGCAAGGGCCACTATGGCTCCATTTGCATAGCTTCATGCATTTACGCAAATTTTCGATAACCCGGTGCAACATTTCTGTTGGAGTATATACGGCTATATGGTATTTCACTGAATCTGAATCTGTCTTCTATGATTGGTGTAGACTTTTGATTTAACATACTCCCAGTGAAAGTAGTCAAAAGGCGTTAAATTGCTTTCGCTTTCAACCATTTGAATGGGCCGTTTCTTGAAATTAACAAATCGACAAACTTTGCACGCAATGTGTTCATATTAAGACCTAAGAAGGTAGGCGGCGCACTGCCTTGTTGAAAGTGGAGATTTCGGGGAAAAAAGTCGGCCAACATCATATTATAATGCGCAGTACTGATTGCGACTTTGTTTTTTGACGAAGCCATTAAGCCAGAAATCGGCCTTATCTGAGAAAGAAGAAGCGGCTTCAAATGTTCTATCATCTTCCGTTCTTGTGCCAACACATTCGTATGCGGATGCAGAGCCAAATCCAATTGCAAAATTCGGCATGTTCTTGTTGGACAGAGACCCAATGGTGCAGAACGTCGTTGAAACGACTGGTTCGAATAATACTGGCCTGAACGCGGAGATATTGTGTTTACAACTGGCATTTCTGGAACGAGAAGGTGGCAAGTGATTGCATATGACTCAAATAGCTTTCTGTGTTGACAGTTTCTCAGGTCGGAAAGGATTTGTAGTGGATCACAACTCGGTAATCGAAGAAAGTTGTCAACGTAACCTTGATTTCTAACCGCGTTTTTTTTTTTTTTTTGGCTGCGGCTCACCTTTATCGCGATATTCGGTTCTGTTTTTGGATCGTAAGCATAGATCCAAGACTCCTAGCCAGTAACTAAACGTTTCATGACACCCTGGTAGTCGGAAGCATTGTTTCAAAGGCGTTGGATTTTAAATCAATCGTGCTTTCACTTTTCTTAGGCCCAAACGATCTTTCAAAATGGTTTTCACTGATCCATCTGCTATTTCAACGACAACGGTAAGATCTTTGAATGTTAATCATCGATCCTCAAGCACCCATTCCTAAATTTTTTGACTTGTTGATTACCAGTCGATGTGGATGGCCATCTTGGACGTGGTACGTTGTCTCGACCCTCTTTGAATAATTTGTATCAATCTAAATCACCGAAAAAATTGCCCAATGTACTTTATGTACATCAGAAAGACTAACTAAACTTGATGTCACATTTGGCACAGATATCACTGATAGTAATACCAACCCAAAAAAAAAAAATTTCTACGAATGGGTTTTCGCGCGACATTTCAATTAAAAAGTTGTTGTACTGAATTGAGCTTATTACATATGTCTTAACTTATTATTATCAAAATTAACCACAAATAAATTAAAAACCACTGATTTATTGTAATAAAACCACACATTTTATTTAATGAACTTTATTTATCAGATCTCTGCAATCGGTCAATTTAATTTTGCAATTCTGGTTTTTCAATTGGAGTGTATTGGATAATTTTGATATTGTACGGTACTTGTTTGCAGTATATGTATGTGTGCGATGAAATTATGAACAATTTTGGAATACAATTTAGAGTTTTGCTTGTTTGACTAATATATTATTTATGAATACGACTAACAACAACATACAACTGGGCTACTTATGTCTGTAAAAGATTCAAGATTCAATTACTTCTTGACTATTTGTTATAATATTCTTTTGAATGTGAGTGTGATTTCATTACGATTCTCGTTATTGTTTTGGTTTGTTTTAAATTCGAAATTCGATACCGCGTTCCAAAAAAATACGAATTTGTTTCGAAGCATAGTTCAAACGAAGAATCTAACAAATCATCATTGTGCTAAGGTGACACTGTTGTGCTTGGAACTATCAACGTTTCAAATGGTGATATAGTTTTCATTTCAACTCTTCGATATTTTTCACAAGCTTATGACTAAGAGCCTTAAAGAATTGCAGTAAATTACATAAAATAAACTATTTGTGCTAAGTTAAGTTAAGTTAAGTTAAGTCAAGTTAAGTTAGTTTAAGTTAAGTCAATCTTAGTTCAGTTAAGTAATGTTTTAATGGGTATTTAGTACCTATATATTTCAGGGTTAGGCCTAGTTAGAATTAAAAAACATTTTTGCATTTTACTCCAAATATTATATAATATGTATCTTAGAAATATTCTCTGAAGATTCTAGTTGGTTATGACAAATATTTTCCACATATTTGCTAACTAGTAAAGGGTTCAAGTGTGCTTTGGTAAACTGCAATGAATTAAATAACATATTCTGCGTAAGACGCGTTTTTCCCAAAACTATATTTTATGAACTGGCCATGCTGACCATAGAAACTCGAGAACCTCTCTGTAGATTTCAATGAAATTTGTACCGCTTTTTGACAGCATGAAAACCTAATTTCTGTTTGAAAGAAGTTATAAAGTTTCGATATATTATAAACAAATAACTCTTGGTTTTATTACGAAAACCTGAAAACATTTTTCCTAAAGCCGCCATTTTGCTAATTAAAAACTGCAAGTGCCTGATTGTCTTTAAACTAAACTATACTTCTTATACTTATTATTATTTTAAATGAATATCCAAGAATTAATTTGGTAATCGCCGTCAACGGAGCTTTGGTTGGAACTGGATTAACAAATCACTTGTCAAATCGAAAACTTATTTAAAGATGCTTTGTTTTTACTTTTTTAAAACAAAATAATTTGCTGACAAACAAATACTTAAAGTCTCAATTATTTCATGACGCTGAACACACCTAACCCCTTAAATGTCTTCCAACATATTCTCAAATAATACTTGTTTCAGTTTTACTAAATAACTTCTTACGGCTATTCAATGGCACAAAGTTTAAAGATCACGAAAATAACCTATCTTATACTAGAACTTAAGCGGAGACATGAGTATCAGGCGAAGCTTACAAAGTAAGTGTATTTCTTAGAAAAAAACATTTTTTATCTAAATTTAAGGAAGAAACTAACTTTCACTACGCTAACAAAACTGTATAAAACCCAAAGAATCGCTTCCTGCCATACGATTACATAAGTTGTAGAACTTAAAAACGCATGGAATTGGCCAAGAACAATGGCAGCAGTTGACTGAGCCATGTGACATATTCGTTGCCAGCGCTGTTGCAGCGATCCTTTTGACAATCCTGACAGAAGATCCGCACGACATTCTTCTCGGTTGGCTCTTCCATGCAGCGATCCAAGGAATCGGATTTGTTGGTGTAATAGCAGAAACGTTTTGTGACCACTTTGCCATTGACTGCAAAGAGAATATAAGGTGTCACAAAAGCATAAGGTACCGTTATTTCAGACAAATATATTGTGAGTTTTGCTTACTCTCTTCAACTGTCTTACGGCAAACGGCTTGCTCATGCTCCGAATTTGTGGTGCTGCTGCAGTTGCGTAAGACATTGATATTGTGTTCCTTCCTCATCTCCTCATCGGGTATTCCATCCTCATCGAAGCTCTCTTTACAGAAGTCCTCGGCGCCAATTGTCTCCGAGCTGCAGTGCCAACACTCCAACTGCTTTGGCTCCGCTGGAAAAATGAAGTAGAAGAATTTATTTAAATTTCAGTTTCATGATTCAACACATGGAATGCTTAAAGAAGTAAGTTAAATTAATACATAATTCTCAAGCAAGGGCTTCCAGAGCAACATTGACGATGTTATTAGTATTTCCCACGTTTTCAAAGCCGGCATTTATTATAACTTTATGACAACTGCAGCATCCTTTTAAAATTTGTAAAGCTATTTTTAGATACCGCTGGATAGTTATTTTCAATTTTTTTTAATAATTTAATCCTGAAAAGTGCATATTAAGTTTGCCGCGAAGTTTCAACACCCAAGAGAAAACCTCGTAGACCCTAGGTGGTGTACCATATTTTGCTTTAGCTTTGAGGTTGGTAGAACTTTCTATATTATTTGCCAGACCCTGTCTAAAGGTTTAGTTATCTCCGAGTTACACATGTTTTTGTAAACAGCCAAAAGTGTATTTTTTGGGTTTTACAATGGCTCGTTTTATAGGTCTTGATTCAAATTTTGTTTGTGGAAAGAATATTATTTGAAAGCGCTGCAAATGGTACTCAAGGTGATCAAGCTATGTCAGGTTTATAAGTGGTACGAAGAGCTCAAAGTACCTCCAGCGACATCAATTGATAGTTCCACTCCTCGCTGATAGTGTTCCCATGTCATTTGATTTTGCACAAACCATTTTGAGGAATGCTTCATGTCCCAAACACGTCAAGACTCGCCTGTTCCCAAATCGTTCAAATGCACCGTGGCAATTGTCGCATTGGTTCTTGGCGATTTTTCTGCCTATCGGTAAGCAGCTACTGTTTTCGTCTGATTTGGCTGATTTGGTAATACAGAAGACGCCAAAGGAGGAAATAAAATCCGAATTAATTAAATACCTGAAGACTATTCCCTAAAAATATACCGACTACTTCAAATACTGGAAAAGCGTTGGCAAAAGTGCGAAGTATAAAATTATGAAATTTAATTATGTGTACCATTTTCCAGTAAGTTCCTGTTTCTATCCCATACCAAGGATTTTGGAATCCGCCGGTAGAAGCCTTTTGAATTTCCTCTACGTCTGCATAACGCTTTGCTTTCATGGGCAAATGCATTTTTCCGAAAAGGAAGAAGTCGCACAGTGAATGCGGGGATTGATTGATGATTAAAAACTGTTTAAAATGTTCAATTCCATTCCCATGAGTTTCAATAATGATTTCGGCTGATTTTTGATGAATTCACTCACAGTTTCGATGGAATTTCCAATTACCGACAATTAAAACACAGTAACTTCACTTCCAATCAATGAAATGTCATGAAATTCTCACTTGACAATCGATAAAGATAGCGTCACCAGGGGGCACTAGATTCAAAAAGTCCTGTTTACTTTGGAACGTACCTTATATGTATGTGAATACATATACCCAAGCGGCTTTGAAATCACTAAAGTCTCTTTGAGTTTCCTCAAAGATCGTGAAAGAATGTCTTGATCTCTTATGGGATCTATGGAAATATCTGATTTTTCGATAAGACTGCAATGAGTTCCAAGCCATAGTGGTGTTCCCGATAACTATGAAGAAGATGGACTGGCCTGAGCAGGCACCATTATACAACTAGAAAACGATAAAGCAGGAATATAAATATACCATTATATATCTTGCTCTTGTAGATACATATTTTATAGAAAAACATGTTATAAGTATGGTATAGCTGAATCTCAGTGGAGTCAATCCATAAATTGCTCACCAAGCAGGCAAACCTGGCATGAATGTAATATAGGCCGCATTTGGTGTGATTAAAATTCAAAAGAAATGACATAAAAATTTTTGTAGAAGAGCAAATAGACCACTGTCTCATTGGCAAACTGGGGATTCCGTACAATGGCTTCTGTAAAAGGTGCTAGAGATAGGAGAGAAGAGCCTATAGCACATATTCTATGCGAACGCAAATAAAGAAAAATAATGGCAATTATCGGGCGAGGGTTACTTGGCGCTGTTTCGGAGGCTGCACAGATTAGACATTTTGTATTTGGTGCTTCGGTGAGGACATAATTGAGTGAGGAAGTTCTAATATCGGTGTTTTTACAAAAGGTTTTTTAAAAGCTATATGCATCGTCAGACATTCACTCTATGTAATCTTACTAAACTGTCTTATGATAAAGCAATTGGACGAGGGAATATTACTTTGGAATAATTTTGTTCAATATTCTAAGGACGGTAAAAAAGGGAAAACTCATATTTCCTTAAAAGCATATGTTGCCTTGAGAGTTCCACAACTGTTGTATTGTCGAAATTTTGTAGACAAAGTCTAAAACAGCAAACTTGAATAATTGCAATTGGTGTTTATTTGGTTGGTGCTGCTGGATACCTGCTAACCAGGCTTAACTAACCGAACTTTAACACAACCTCCACTGTGATTTCAAGTATATATTTTCTATACCTACATATGTACATATATGAAAGGATTTTTATTTTGGTGTTAGAATCTTAAGAAAGTATGTACCGAAGTATATATTTTCTATACGTACATATGTACATATATGAAAGGATTTTTATTTTGGTGTTAGAATCTTAAGAAAGTATGTACCGAAGTCTTCACCACACACACCAACATATTATATTATTTGAGCTTATGAAAATAAATTGTAATGGCTAAAAAGAGGTGAAAGGAAATATGTGGCTGTACGTCAGTGTAAGCTGTAGATGCATGTGTATGTGTGTAGTAATATATGCTCACGCTTCATATACAGAATGGTGACATCACCACAGCCTAGACTACTACTATGTATGTACAATAATATGTTGATGTGTAAAGGGATCCGCAAAAGAACGCTCATAAAAACAGAGAAAGAAAGTGTGGGAATTTTTATAACTGTTGTGCACTAGCTGGTGGCACATTCCGGCATGAAGTCACAGTCAGTTGGACGCCAGCTCTGTGATTTCATTTCGCTTTCGAAAACACACGTGTATGTCTGTGTGTGTGTGCCAGAAATCACAATTAATTGACGTCTCCGCTGGCAATACTTTGTGCGATTTTAAATTGCATTAAATGTTAGTGAAGTGCAAACAGCAACTTGTTGTTTGGTTTGCGTAGATGTAAAGGATAAATCATCAATATTATCCACAAGTGATTCATTATGCGACTAGTGCATAAATCTCGATAATAAAGTCTTCATGACTGCGACTTCAGTGTTAGCTTGAATTGCGCTTTAAAATATGTACAATGCTTTCCGCAATTATTCTCAATTCATTTTATTCATCTTCCTGCATTTCTGTGCCACACGCACTCCTCCCGCTGGAAATATCAACGCTTGGCGCCAATTTTGCATCACTAGCCGAGTAACACAGTTTCAGTGGGCACCACACAAAAGCAGCCAGACAAGTGGCGCCGCTGTGGCGCGTGTTCTAATTTTTAGCGCTTTCTATGTTGATTATTCTTGTTGTTATCATTGCCTGATGGACGCAGTGGTTGCTGTTGTCCTGGCTCCGTTGATATTGGTCGACGCCACACACACATATGTATTTCTAGCTGTGGGTTAGCTACGAGCAGCGCTGTTGGCCAACTACCCTCGAGCATTTTTTTTGCTGACAAAACAACGTGCTCGGCATTCACTGACTTTAAATCAACCATGGTGATGGGGCGAATGTTATAAATGAGCCAGGACAGAGAGATTGTTGGTACCTAATCGAATTAAGGGGTTATATCCACTTTCAATTTTGTTTTGCGCAATTGTTTTGAAGAAACATTTTAGTAAATAAATAAATAAGAGGGTTCAATTACAGAGATTAAAGTACTTTATTAATCCGCGACTCATTTTGAAAAAATTTATATTCTTTGATCCAGAAAAAGGTGGGTAGAAGCTGTTGGAGCAGAGCAGCAGTTAGCTTTTTACAGGTCAAAGCTTGTGGGAAAGGCAGGTGGAGGGTTATATCGTCAGGAACTCTCTATCTACTTCATTTTCATATTTGCACCTCCCGCTGAGGTTACTGCAATTGAGGTGTTGGTATATTTATCGCTTCAGAATGTAGCCTCCTTCAGAGAAGTGACTGTCCACTCTAGTAGCAGAGCGGCAATACTAGCCTTGATCTCAGTAATCGAGCGTTCAGGGTTGGTGAAGGTATACCTAACATCGTTATCAATGGTATTGAGTCACTTTGTGATTAGACTAGTGTTGGCGTCAGGTCGTAGCGGAATTACAGGTAACTGTAAAGCTGACGAGTTGACAAGAAAATAGACTGAAGCCTGCTAAAAATTTAACTTCAGAGTGATTTATAAAAATCAATTTATTATCAGAAATCGCATTCCTTCGCTCCTTCCTTAGAAATTATATTTGCCAGATCAAGTTCATTCCTCTGTTTCCGTGCAATTCGGCGCAGGATCTATGGAACTCACCCGAGCTAAGCAAGCGCTGGTCAGCATACAGCACTTGTGGGGTTGCGAAAGCATCTGACCCAGAGTGGAACGTAAAACGTCCATTGAAATACCAAATTTTAGCAAGACTGAATTATGTCGACGACATCAAACGATACGCCGACCAGACTTCGGACGCAACTAACTTCCGATATGCACTAACCGCCATTCACAGTGGAGTCATCAACACCTTCATCGACCACCATCCATGGCAGACGGAGACTGCCGTACAACACGAGAGTGACCCTTGCGCAACTTTGTTGTAAATATTGTAGCACGTTAAACTTCTACTTAGCCAGAATAGACCCCGACATATGCAATATGTCCTGCGTGCAATTAGTCTCAGCATAACAGTGGCCACCTCTTTGCATGCCCCACTAACTCAGCACATCTGAAACCTCTCTTCCTTTGGTCCGAAACAGCACTTACCATCCTAACGGAGATTAGACACCCGTCACAACAACACCACTACTCACATCGCCGCAATGATAGCTGTCCTAACTTGATATTTCATTAGCACCCTGACGCTGAGGCTAAAGATTTTCGAAGAAACAATTGGTAAAGTTGCAGGGAGAAAATGAGGTGAAAATATCAGGACACTTTCTACTCCATTATC